GTCACTTGCTAATCACTCTAAGCTCGTCTCACAGGCGCAGCCTCAATCTCACAACCTGCTCAACTCATTCCACACACACTCGCAGTTCAACTTGCAGGGACCGAGCACGACCAAAACGTGGTGACGAAGACTACATCGAACGGCCTGAGAATGCGGTCATCCTTGTCCAACACAAATCCCACTCGCAGAAGAATGAGGCAGAGGCAGCTGGTGGTGTAGGGGTTGGGACTGTAGAAATGGCGTATTATTTACTATTTTTGTATTCTATAATTTAAATATAATTATATTCAATTAATTATTTGATATAAAATTGTATAGTAAGCAAAAGCAAGCTATTCAAACACTTGTAATGACTTGTAAGCATTATAAGCAGATATTACACTGTCACAAATTAATAAGTATGTCTTAACCTTGTAATTTAGGAAGTATATTATAATCACTTGTATAACTTGACAATTTATAAAATTATATCAGAAATTGCCAAGTTTTAAAAGTATTTTTTCTTGCTTATTTAACATTGTACTTTCCTTACTTAACCCCCCAGGAAGATTATAAGTAATTGGACAAATTTTATAAAATTTATAAAATATACAAGATTACAAGCAAGTATAATACTTAAGACTTTTTCGTGATGTTTTAGCCTCCTCCTTTCTTGCCTGGACCTTCTTCTCTTCCCTTTCCCTGTATTCCTTCTTCTGCCTAAGCTTTTCCCTGGTCTCATCTAAGGTCATAATCTTTGACATTCCATCATCAAATATTCATGAGTTCTCTATTGTTTTTCCTTTCTCCTTCTTGTATAGAGCATTCTAGAGCCTAGCATTAAGAAGGGAGGCCAGAAAAAGCTGTGCTGACTATAGAATAGGACTGTTAAGAGATGAGGAACAAAAAGAGAGAAAAAATTATTTATTTAGCAAATGTTACAGACTAATACTCTCAACCAATGTGTCATTAGGACTGTAGGTCAGTGTAGATCAGTGCAGATCAATGTAGATCAATGCCGATCATTTTACTCTCTTGTCACACTTTTTGAGCATTTTTAACAAATTATACAATATTAATTTAAGGACTGGTCCATTCAATATGATAAAACATACATATTGTAGCTCTGAAGTAGAGGAATACAATAATATAATTTTTATGTTGAACACTGTAGCATAAGTAGTAGTAAAAAATTTGTCAGTAGTCTCATATTTGGAATTCATTCAATTTCAGCAGTATTGAATTTCTATACACTTTTCTACTGAATCAATTTCCTTCAGAATTCATATATATATAGTACATGTATGTATCTACATTTCTCTATTTTTTTGAGTTTATTGGTTCAGTTATGCATGAATTAGAGGGGGGTGTTCAAAGGAACGTCCCTGTTTAAAGGAACAACCAATGCCTGTACTAAAAACCGTGTCTAAATCATCGGTCCGAAGGGAACCGACTAGTGTACCATAATTTCGGTCAACAACACCCCATGAATAAACTTAAAATCTGTACAGGGGGGGGTACCCCCCCTGTACAAACCTCAAAACTTGAGAAATACATTCATAATAATAAATATGGTAATATAGCCAACGCTTATGACAGTATCCCTGATTGCCTGTCACTTTGTCATCGGAGTTACATCTGTATTTAGTATAATTGATGATCAACATGTTCTCTCAGAACATTTGCCCTTAGCTATAGCATCTATGAATCTTGGTGTTACGGGAAGCAAATTTTGTCTAAATCTATCCTATCTCGCTTATATACAGAGTTTATGAAAATAGGATGCCTTTTTTCTAGCAGAATTCTTACGGGAAGTCATCCAATAATCCTTAATGCACTCGACCAATCACACTATGCATATGCGCGCATACATCGGGGCGTCTATGTACCGTGCTTGCATCTCCCAATCAATCTCTTTGGACTTTTCTGTATTGTTACGGAACGCTAGAAGACAGTTTTGCATCGATACGCCAAGTTGCGACGATTATTAATCCTGCCTCATGTCGCCATATTTAATTACTGAGCGGTTGGGAGGATGAGGTATGGCCTGCTCCACCCCGTAACTGCGTAACATGTCTTCCTCGACTGCTTCCAAAGTTGCAGCGCAGTAAGTCATCCACTTTCAACCCTTGCACCCGACGTAGTTGCATTGACAACTGTAATCCAGTTTCTTACAGTTCAGAATACAATATTCGAGCATAGGTGCGTTTGTGTAGTGGATTGTAAATAATACAATAAAATTTAAGGATTGCGACAGCTCTGCTTTGTTACGATTACACATTGACCTTCCAATCTGAAGGTGAGTCTGCCTCGTTTTGAGCATTACCGAATGTCCTATCTGAGATTGATAATAGTAAAGTATATGTGGGGGCGAAAGTTTCGCTTCTCGACTTTGCTGTATGTGTTCTGCCGATACGCCCTGGTTGCGAATGTCCTCTACGTATTTGCAGTCACTGGAAAGTTTCCTTCCAGGACAAGGGTATGTAGAAGCTAAAGTAATCTGATGTAAGATGTGTGCTGACAGTTATCTATCTCAAAGTACGCTAGGCATAGCTTATCAATGGCTTACTTCTGAGAATTATTTCGAACAGCTGCGACTCGATTTACCAGTTCATTGGGGCTCTTAGCGTCTTCGGGAGACTCGCGGTCGTTGGTAACAATGATTTCTAATACTTTTGAAGAGATTTTTTTGACTTGTTCTTGTGTAGCAGCGTTGACAGCCCGAACATACGCCGTGTTTGGATGCAATCGCATTATTCTCCTCCTACTCGGTCCTATGGCATTAGCATGTATGGCTCTCGATATTGTATGTTCTTATATGCGTCATTTTAAGTGGTTGAAGGCTGATGATATTGTTTATAGACTCATGTTCCAGGACTTAGATGTTCTGGATCTTCTGATAACTTCTCGTAAGTGTATCTTCATTCTCATCCCTTGTACTAAGACTCAATTTATTTTCATATCAGAGGTGGGGACAGATACTTTTTTTGTGCAGGTCTCAAGTCTGTATTCCTTATATCATTTTGTCTAGTTTCACTCGCATTGGCCATATTGATGCGCGTGTTCGAGTTCATAGCAGCTGTCTTAACAATGGTCCGGAGTCTTCTGGATTTCCGAATAGGAAGATCGTGGAAGATCGAACCAGGAAGTTTGATTATTGTCTGTTTCCGGCAAGGTGAGTCTCCATTTACTTGTCCGTGTATAAGACTACTGCTTAGCCATTTTATGTGCTAGGGATGATTTATATCATCTTCACAACTGTCCTTTCCATCATTGCTGCCATTTTGCAATATGTGAGTTACCAATTACTTGTACAAACGATTATCAGTACTGATAAGATTACCAGCGTGCTCCTGTAAGTCATCTCTGGGATAATTCTAGGTTACGTCTGACAGACGCGCATATTTTTATGTAGACGGGTTCCATCTTTCAGAGGCTCTTCAATGCTCTTAGCTTACCGTACGTCTTCTTTCCATTCTCGCTATCATTTACTGTGCTGAAAGGCGAAACTTACTACAGCTTTTCATGTCTTCTGACAGCTCGCTTCCTTCTCCAACTTCGTGAATGGCAAGAGAGAGGCTCTTTTCAGTCTACGAATTGCAATGATGGGATTGCAATGGACGGGGCGCAAACACAGCATGCGCAAACTCTATCAGCATTCAGAGCGGTTGTAGTCTTTGATGCTGCAGTGATAGACGACTTTGGTGATGGGGAATCTATGACAATGTCACATAGTACTGGTGGATGGGAATCTGACGGTCTCTGCACGTATAGGGGAGATGGAGTGATAGAAATGGAAGAACGATAATCGCGGGTGGCTTCTTGATATGTAGATGGTGATGTAGGATAGTGGGATAGAGTAAATTTGTATAGCACGAATGTAATAATATGCAATGTATCCAATGTGAACTTCAATCTGTCTGATTTTGGACTGGACCATTCATGCCGAGTATCCATTAAGCAGAGTGAGACTCAGGCTATGCAGTAAGCCTGCAGGGGTGTCTGGAAACTGCAAATACTATTAAACCGGGAGTTTCACAGGTTGTGTGAGAGATCCCGCCCAAGTGTTAGAAGTACGTTGAAACACAGAGTGTATTCACCTTTATAGGTTGGACGCTTAGATCAGCACTGTTCGAACAATCGACCATCCGAGTTTCTGTTTATTTTGCTGGGGCGAACGCAAAAATCTTGAAAGATGGCGAGTTACGGCAGGCGTCCAAGGTACTTATAGCTACATTTCAACACTGAATCCGAACAGACTTCAGAAGAAAAAAGTTAGGAGCCGATCAGCTTGTGCGTCGTCTGGTTTGACCAGAACGGATACTAGTAGGAACACTGAAAGGCACAGTTTTACGCAAGGAAAGAAAGATCCGAAGTCGATAGGAGCAGATATCTGTACCAGTTCAGGTTATTAGGATAGCACTTGAGACCGAACACTCGGCCATGCGCGGACAGCGCGCCTTACGAGAGTTATGCGGAGTTTGCACAAGCGTGTCGGGTGCGCGAAAGATTGGTATTTTATGTTGTCGAGGTGTAGAACGTGGATGGCTTCAGTGACTTGACAAGAAAGTCTGTCTTGCGAATGTAAGTGTTCGACTGGGAAATCCTAACACTAGTACTCGAGCTGGAGGCTGCTGGAGGGATTTTCTGAGTAGGAAGCGAATGGCTGTATGCGGATCACGTGCACGCTGGAGAACTTGGACCCGTAACTTTTAAGTCTCACTTTGATGAGGTTGCCTCATTTATTATCTACCCTTGTGCTGCACTCGGTTTTCTCCGCTATGCCCATGCGCGTATACGCCGGCGCGCCTATTTGTAGTTTTCGCATCTCTCAATCAGTCGATCTGAGCATGTTCCGTATCATGATTCATTACGCGAACGCTAGAAGACAGTGTTGCAGTGATACTCCAGGCTACGACGATTATAGATCCAGCAACATGTCACAATATTTAACTGCAGAGTACTTCGGAAGAGCAACGGCCTTGCCATCCTCTTCCTCATACAATGACTTCCTCGGCTGCTTCCAAGGTTGCTGCACAGTAGGCTGTCCATTTCAATGCTTTCACTCGACATAGATACGCTGACAGAGAATACTAGCTTCTTACAGTTCAGAATACAGTACTCGAGTATAGGTGAGTTCATTTATTATACACACGTTTGACCATCACTCCATTTAATGTTATAAATCATGACAGCCCTACTTTACTATGACTATGTATTGACCTTCCGGTCTGAAGGTGAGTCTGTATCGCTTGAGCACATCCAACGTCCTGTCTGAGATTAATACTAGTAAAGTACATGTGGGGAAGAAAATTTCGCTTCTCGACTATTCTTTATGTGTTCTGCCGATACGCCCTACCTGCAAATGTTCTTTACGTATTCGCAGTTACTGGAAAGTTTTCTTCCAAGACAAGGGTATGTAGCAGATTGAATACTACATTGTGGATGTGTCCTGACGTTAACCTCACATTGTAGCACGTTTGATACAGCTTATTAATAAACGCAGTTCTGAAAATTATTTTGAATAGCTGCGATTCGATTTACCAGTTTATTGGCGCTCTTAGTGTCCTTGGGAGAGCTGCAGTCGTTGGTAAGCTACTGCCTAATGCTTAGAGAACTCGTTTGTTGACTTCTCAATGTAGCCGCTTTGACTGCCCGAGCGTACGCTGTGTTTGGATGTAATCACATCATTCTCCTCCTACTCGGCCCTATAGCACTGGCGTGTATGGCTCTCGATATTGTATACTATCATGCGTGCTGCATAATGAAGAAAGCCTGATGTAACTGTTTATAGGCTCATGTCCCAGGGCTCAGATGTTCTGGATCCGTTGACAACTACTCGTGAGTGTCCCTCTAATACAGTTTGTCCACAAGGTAACTCAGCAATTATTATTCATGTCAGAGGTAGGAATACTCTTTTCGGGTCTTGAATCTCCATTTCTAATGACCTTCGGTTCAGTTTCACTTGCATTGTCTATCTTAATGCGTATATTCGAGTTTGTAGCAGCCATCCTAACTACATTCCGGAGTATTTTGGAATTCCGAGTGGGAAAGTCATGGAGGTTCGAGTCAGGGAGCGTGGCTATTGTCTGCGTTCAGCAAGGTGAGTTGCCATCTGGTATCTGCACATCAAATTACTGGGTAACCGATTTCCGTGTTAGGTGTGATGTATATCATCTTCTCGACTGTCATCTCCATCGTTGCCGCCTTTCTGCAATACGTGAGTTATCTCATCCTTGTGTCATGCGATAAACTGGGCTGACAAACCAACCAGCGTGCTCCTGTAAGTGATTGTGAGGTCATTGAGGACTATGCTTGACAGAGGTGCACCCTGTCACCTAGGCCGGGTCCATTTTTCAGCGACTCTTCAACGCTCATAGCCTACCGTACGTATCCCTTCCCACGCTTACAATCTTTCACTGTGCTGAAAGGGGGAAATCCTCTTCTCTAGCTTATCATGTCTCTTGACGGCTCGTTTCCTTCTTCAACTTCGTGAATGGCAAGAGAAAGGTTCTTTCCATTCTGCAAATTGCAATGATGGGACTGTGATGAACGGCACGCAAACGACACAACTGCAAACGATATCAGCATTCAGAGCGGTTGAAGCTTTTGATGCTGCGGTGATAGATGACTTCGGTGATGGGGAAGCTATGGCAGCGTTACATAGCAATGGTGAATGGGAGTCGGATGCTTCCCAAGCGTATATGGGAGATGGTGCGATGGAGATGGAAGAACGATAGGTGCACATAGGGTCTTGATGTTCACATAGACAGGATGTAGGATTGCCAGAATAGAGTACGGTTGTACGGCGTTTATATATTAGTATGCTGTGTACATAAAACACATTCAAAGCATCTGAAAGTTTACAACAGCGTCTGCTTCGAGTGCATAGCACTCATGATATGGGATCAAGAACCACAGTTATTCTTGTCCATCGAGCCGGTTTACACTCTGCAAATTCTAATTGGACGAGAACGGATCCAATAACCTGTGAATTATCATGGTGCCAAGGTTTGAATAAAGTAACTCTAGAAAATAATTGAGGACTATATTTCTCATGAGTTAAAAAAATTGCATAATAATATTTTGTTCAAAACTGTCCTCGTGACAAGAAATCAAAATTCACCACGCTGTTAGTTACTAGCGTCTCTAACGAGAGATAATCATTAGACAATACTGTAGATGGTATGGAAAGTTACAACCGATATGATACAATACGTCAAACATAGGAACACATCGGGATGCAAATCAAGAATCTCCAATAGGAGCTAGCTTAGCTTATGCTATTGTGAATGCTGGATTCGCACATAAATAGACAAATAAAAATAGCATGAGGGTTGCCTAATCATGCTTGCTCTGAGCATCTGAAGGGCACCGCCACTCGTCACCGATACATGATACTACCTGTGAAAGAGAGCACAGGATGAGGATCAGAGTTCATCAGGTCAATGTGCGATTGATGGAGCGCTCCACCGCGCAATTTCTTACATCACGAAGAGACGGGCCCCTATTTCGAAGGTTGCAGTGCAAATGGTACCATGGTAGATGATGAATCTCGCCATCTCCGTGTCTCGTGTACATCATGATGAATGGAAGCAGATGGTCGACCAAAATGTATCCGGTACCCGTAGAACGTTTGATCCTTACGACCGGATGGGAGAATGATTCTCCTAGTCTAAATATACATGTAAATCCCATGACCCTGCAAGCAGTTCGCAGAAGCTTTCCGTAACTGTGGAAGATATGCAATTGCGGACTCGTTTCTCCGTGTCAAAGCAGACAGACATTCGGCAAATGCCGATATATTTATTGAATACAGTGAAACCTCTCATTAAGCATTACTCTTGTTAAGCATAACCTCTCATTAAGCATGACATTTTAGGTCTACCATTACTCTTGTAGACACTAGAATTTTACTTGTTAACAAGCATAACCTCTTAACAAGCATTACTTTTTATGTCCACCAAGGGCAATGCTTAATGAGAGGTTTCACTGTACAATCAAGCGGATTTTTGTAGGCACTTACCGTGATCTCATGCCAAGAATGCGTGCCACCGCCATCCTGGATCTTTCGATGGGGTAAAGTGGCGCTGGTTGTCACTGTTCAAACAGATATCTGCTTCCCTTTTCTAAGCCGAGTTGTTTCTATATCGACGTTAGCGCTTTGCACCTGGACAGCCCTACTGAACACTCTGCCATGACGTGGATCCTCTGTAGCGCATTAAGTTCATCGTATAGCACAAAAGAAATCATACACATCTGTGACCCGATGATGTATGTGACTTCGACTAACTTAGGAAAGGGTACATCTTGGCTACGGGTGCCTCGATGAACATTTGTCAACCATCGGCTGCCTGTTTTCGAATAGTTCTGACTGTTCCGAACCACCGAAACCCTATTACTGAGGGAACCAGCTATTCTTAAAAACCTGATTTCACGGTATCGCGGGCAGCCTCGTGCGAGACTTGGGCTATCCATATCCCTTATGAATAATTGATCTACACTTCTTCGGAGTTTCAGTGACCAAAATGTTCTTCATATCGATTCTTATTCTTGTGTTCGGAGCTTCATCTGCTAACTAGGAAACATACTTGGGTTCGGTCTTCGGAGATCATGAAACCTTACCCTCACTACTACTAATAGGTCAATACAACGACTCGCATCTCAGGCAGCAATAAAACCTAATGAGTCAAGTGTCTGTGTTGTTGCGGTCACTGAACTTACTTGCCTAAAGTTCATCATATCGGCCAACATGCTCACGTAGCCCCATTTATAAGAGAAGGGGTTATGCGCTTGGCTTCAGCTCGCATCTACTGTCTCTGCCATGGCTTCCAAAATTGCTGCGCAGTTCGTCACATTATCATAAAATATGGTAAAATGTGATATAATAATCACCGTTGCAATTCCCCATACAGCTTCCTGCAGTTCCGCATCCAGTATTCAAGCATCGGTACGTCGTTAGCTCCTCCCCAGTCACTCTACGCTTTCTTAGCAGGAAAATTTAGCATTCCTCTACTACGACTATGCGTTGACGTTTCCCGCTGAAGGTATGTTATCATTCTTTGGGCGGTGCTTATGAGAAGACTGAAGCTTCTCAACCAGTCAAGTATGTCTGGGGCAAGAAGTTTCGCTTCTCGACTCTGCTCTACGTTTTCTGTCGATATGCCCTGGTGGCGAACGTGATATTTGTACTTGCTCAGACGGGCAAGCTTGGGAAAAGGGTGAGCAGGGACTTATATCCGTCATGTCTCTGCGATTAAGTATCTTATTCACGCTCTCAATGACAGTGAATCTTCCAAGGAGAGCCTTCTGCTTTTGGTCTAACGGAAAATTAGCTGTGATGCTTGGTACAAGTTCGATGGGGTGATTAGCGTTCTCGGAAGGGCCGCAGTCATAGGTATTTGCAATACCACGATCGCTCGTCCGTTACTGAGATTTATGTCTATAGCGGCTCTGACTGGCAGAACATACGCAGTTTATGGATGTAATAAATATATCCTTGCACTCCTGGGTTCTCTCGGGATAACATGTTTCATACTCGATGTCGTAAGTTTTCTACACTACGTACTAAAGATTGCCGCTCATGAACATTTTGCTAAGATGCATCTCCCTGGTCTCAGATGTCTCGGCTCATCGAGCAGTCAGACGTGAGTGTATACACTTGTATTTCTATAGCATCATCATTGACGAAAACATGATAGGGGTTTGTGATACAAATAAAATTTGATCCTTTCGTCAAATGTTGATTTCATATCTAGCGGCAACCTTACTATCCATTCTCATGTGTGTCTTCGAATTCTCAGCAGCGATACTTCTTATCGTACGAAGCCTATCTGAATTTCATATTGGTGGAACGTGGAAATTCGACAAGAATGGTTTTATGACAGTCGTGTTCAAGCAAGGTTAGCACTGTTAGGATGATTGACTAATCTACCGCATCTGAAGGCCACAATCTTTTTTTAAAGGTTTGATGTATTTTTGCGTTGTGTCAATATTCACGACTGCAGCTGCTGTCTTGAACTTCGTGAGTCCTTATAACACTTGCCAAATATGCAAACATAAGCTTACAACATTTTATTCATAGCGCGCACCTGTATGTCTGTGTGACTTCAACTCTGATTGGAAGCTGACTTCACTTTTTTTTAGTCAGGGACATTCTTCCAACGCCTTCCGAACGCATACACCCTCCCGTAAGTCTTCTGCAATACGGCCTCTGGAAACTATGCAGCTTATTCTGTTCTGGGATTAGGTTGTCGTGCACGTTGATAGCACGATTTCTCCTTCAACTGCGTGAATGGCAAGGGAAGGACGTTATTGGAGGCGACGGCATTCATGATACGGGTGCACAAGACCAGCATGTGCAAACACTGTCGGCTATTCGAGCCAACACGATGGTTGACTCCTTAATTTTAAGCGACTTTGGAGACGGGGTGCCTGCAGCTATGTCATACGAAAGTGCATTTGAGACAACGTCTACCCATACACATGCCGATGTCAATTCAGAAAAGGCGCATTCGGAGACGACTCAGGTGAATGAGGCCCCAAGGCATGATTTCTCCGAGTCCAAAGGCAAGCAGACGAATATCGAACCACATGATTCGTCTGACTCTGAGAGACAATCCGACGCTTGAATTTTTTTTGTTTTTTTGTTTTTTTCGGGGCATCTTGTAATTCTTGTTACAGTAGATCTATAAACTTCCTGAGTGCTAAAGTGGCCAAACTATTTTATGTACTGATCTCCTACGATTATAATTTATTTAACGTTTCTGCCCAGATGCACAGTCTAGCTAGGTAATTATCCTCTATGCGCTTAAGCCATACTTATCTGGACACGCACTCACGCGAATATCGACCTAGCAACCGGATTTAGCAAGTTCGACTTCTAGAAACAAGTATGCTTTCCCGAATCAGAATAAAATTCACAGACAAGTTTCTGCATAAGGAGGATGACGAGCATTCGGCTTCCCGCTTTTGACAAAGCTTGACTTCTCCCACATTCCTTGCTTTTGTTGAGTTACCGATCATTGTTCGCAACAATGCGCTCACTCAGTGGTATTGTAGAAGCAAAGTCTGTATTCGCGGGCGGCCCATTCCCTTCAGGCTCTTCTAGTTAATGAAACCTTCTGTAAGTCTACTGTATAATGTTGTTTTTCTTGTTCTGACTATCAAGTTTAGCCACTTGACATGCTGAATGCTTGCACGTAAGTTAGTTTACCATAGCACTCTCCTCGGAAGTGCTCGGCAGTTTGAAATCCTGTGCATTGATTCTCACCGCGTGAGTATAAAGCTTCTGAATCGGGCTTCTGGCCTTCTATATCAACGAATCACTTGTGACTTGATACATGAACTATGTTATGTCGCCGCGCAAAAGCTCGGAGACATCATTCGATTGATCACATGCGACACCGAGCATATTTACCTATTTATATCACACGTAGATATATAGCTGGCTGGTAAATTTTTGTATGGGAGCACATTGACGAATCGCAATCATGAGCGAAGCCAACTCAACAGCAACGGATACGGGAGCCCTAGTCATTCCTGCATTGGATGATACAGTACGTGCATTATAAGAATTATTATGACTCGTGTTAATTCTTTATTTCAGCTCGGTGCTCTATACATTGGTATTCTGTGAGTTCTCTGTTTATCGTCTCGCAAAATTTCACCATTTACAAAACCTTCTGTAGATTGGCAATGGCGTAAGAGCATTAGTGTCGTCGAAATAGTGCTAGTACTGACTTGTAATAGATTATGGGGTGTTGCCTCTTTACAGCTGTTCTATTACTTCACGGTGAGTACTGCATCCGTGTTGGCTTGGTCCTTTGTATGTTTGCTTAATACGAGTTATTCAGCGCTTCCCTCGTGACAGTTGGAGTACCAAAGTCTTGGTTTGTTTTCCAAGGAATCACGAATACCATATCCTGAGTGTTTAGCATAGGTACTTGTTGTCTGGGGACTCGACACTATTCATCAAGGCATGATCTCACATGCAGGATATATTTACACCATAAAGCAATATGGAAACATATCCTTCGTTTCTCATGTCGAGTTAACGCTTGAGGTATGTAGTAAATACGTCTTCTTTGTTCTGCATTAAATACATTTTACAGTTAATGATTCTGATAAGCGTAAGTCAGAACAGTACATTACAATAATGTGCTTATACTAAAATATTTAATAGGGCATAAACTGCTTGATTGTCCAAATTTTCCTAGTAAATCGGGTGTGGAAGCGTAAGTAGTTAGTGTTACACATCGACAGTACCACTGACAATCGTTAAAGTCAGCCAAGGTAACAAATGGCTGGTAATCTATCTCATGATCACAGTTCTTGCTGCATTCAGCTTTATTACCTGTGAGTCGAGTGGAAAATTAGCTTGTATTGGGACTCATCATTTGTGCTGTCCAGCATATTTTGCCAAAAGGTATATATTATGCACAAATAGGAGACTTATACCTGACTCGTCTATGAAGTATCGAAGGAAGCACATTCTCAAATGTGAAATCACGGGAATGGCTTGGGCGAGCAAGTGAAAGCCTTGTCGTGATATCTGACTTCTCAATTGCTGGCTCACTCATTTACTACCTTCAACGCTCTCGTACCGGATTCAGAAAGACGGAAACAATGGTCAACAGATTAACCATTCTTACAGTTAACACTGGGCTTTCGACGAGTATTGTAGCAACGCTTACGCTCATATTTGTAAGCACATCCTTAGTCGGCTGTCTTCATAATTCTTTGCTAAACTTGCTTCCTTTGAAGTTATCTGCCTACCCGCATAAGTATATTTATACTGCGTGTTTTGTGAACATTAGCAAATGTACGTCTCTGAAGTCACTATAATTCCGACCGAGCAATTGATTCAGAAACAATGCGTTGCAAAGTGTATACGAATGCATTCCTCGCAACGTAAGCTCAAACAGTGCGGTGTATTCTCTAGATAATGACGTAACAATTATCTAGCTTGAATAGTAGGAGAAGCTTCCAGGAGGACGAAAGCGAAAGGACAGAAGAATTGCAATCAATTGCCTTATCTAAGCTCCGGAATATTGTTCGTGGACGAGGGACGAGGGACGATTTAGAAGGACGAGCACACGTCCTTTCTATACAGGTACAGACTGATACTACGTTTAGTAGGGAGAATACAACTGGAAAGGACTCGGTGCGTTCTATCTGTTCTCTTTTCAATAACACATAGCTTCTAAGGCTGACTACAAATTCATAATCATCTGATAAAGAAACCTGATATTCTTGATATTACCCCGGAAGTAGCAGAAAAGGGCACCTCTAAGGTGGATGTATAATCTGTACTACAAGCAGACAGTTTGTCTGTTTCACAGATGCCCGATTCCTCGATGTATGCGCTTATGTAATAATATAAATAACAAATGACATCATTAGGCCAGAGATGTTGCTGTAGCTCTGTATGAATAATGATTTTTACCGCGCATTCATAACGAGAGGGAATATGGCTGTTATTCCGGTGCTCCAATTTCTCCCTAGCCGACAATCTCGGTCCCTTTGACATCTCGGCAAAAGCACTACTCCAGTTTCTGCGAACCGGTTCCTATTCATTTCCGGGACGCGGCACTTCACGTCGGACGAAGATTACTGTCATTTTCATAAATATTGTCACACGCGCGATTCGTGATTTTCGTCACACTAAGTACACTCAAATACAAAATCTATCATAACTCAACTAATACTTAACCAAATTACATGATCTAAGTTGTAAAAAATATAGTTTTAAAGTGTCTTTCATATCCCAGAAAAAATAAAGTAAAATGAGCAAAAATTGAGTAAGATACAACACAATATGTGAGTTTTCTCTATATTTCATGTATATGAGTTTTCCTGGCCCTAAAACTGATTGTACACTACTATAAACTAGTCTAAATGAAGAATATAACTTTATTGTTAATTTACATATTGAATTCTAACTAGGATACAGAATACACATATAAGTATAATACATATTTAAGTTTGCTAAAATAGAGCATTTCCCCCCAACCTCTCTACACTCAGGGAAGGTTCTTCTGAGTATTATTCAT